CAGGCTCGCTGGATCCGGGTGTGGCAGCAGGCGCTGCTGCTTTTGCTGCATGCACGTCTATGCCCTGTGGCGTTGACCTTCCCGGGGCCATCCCTCGGCCTCCGCCCATGACGGTCCCACCCCCCCCTCCCCCCCCAGCAGCAGCAGAAGCAGCAGCAGCAGGAGCAGGAGCAGCAGCGGGCACCGCACCCGCCCCACCGCCCTGCGCCGCAGCAGGAGCCGAGCTGGCCTCCGCGTCCGCGTCTCGCGTTTCGAGCGGGCTGGTGCTGACCAGCGTAGCGGCACCGAGCAGCAGCAGCAGCAGCAGCAGCTACGGGGGCTACTGGCGGTGCGGGAGCCGGCAGCAGAAGATGTGGGGCTTCAAGCGGAAGTACGTGGACCGCGTGGACTGCAGCGCGGACTGGGTGTCAGTGGCCTTAGACGCTGTGGGGGCGCTGCTGGAGCTGCCCGAGGCCGCGTGGTTTTCGCCCGACCCCGAAACCACTGCAGAGGGCTACAGGCAATTCATCGCAGAGCCCATGTGGCTGCGCAAAGTGCAGGCCAGGCTGGCCGCGGGGGCCTACGCGCTGCCGTACCACTTCAAACAAGACGTGGCGCTCATCTTCCGCAACGCCCGCCTCTTCAACGCCCCCCAAGACAAGCCTTACCGCGACTGCTGCCTCCTCGAACAGAAGTTCAACATGCTCTGGGCGCCCATCAACAACGCCTTTCAGAGGGCCGCCAGGCACAAACGCCTCCAGCAGATGCAGCAGCAGCAGCAGCAGGTGGGGCAGCAGCAGCAGCAACAGGCACAGCAGCAACAGCAGATGGCGCAGCAGCAGCAGATGGTGGAGCAGCAGCAGCAGCAGATGGGGCAGCAGCTGCAGCAGGTGGGGCAGCAGCAGCAAATGCAGCAGCAGCAGCAGATGCAGCAGCAACAGCATGAGCAGCAACAAGTGCACGACGCGCAACAGCAGCAGCAGATGCAGCAGCAGCAGCAGCGAGTGCAGGAAGTCCAGCAACAGCAGCAGGAGCAGCAGCAAGTGCAACAGATGCAGCAACCGCTTGAGGTCAAAACGCAGCAGCTGCAGCAGCTGCTGCCGCAACACGCGGAAGTGCAGCAGCAGCTCGATAGTAATTTACAATGCGAAGGAACAGTAGTACCAGCAGCAGCAGCTGGGGCAGAAGTAATCACAGCAGCAAATGTCGCCTCGCCAGTCACGCAGACAAATGCGCCGCCAGACGTGCAGCAGCATGAGCAGCAGCAGCAGATGCTGCAGCAGTTCAACGGCTCTGCTGAGCTGGCAGGCAGTGATGCTTTGGATGCATTCGTTCCGCAGCAGCAGCAGCAGCAACAGCAGCAGCAACACGAGGAGCAGTCGCAGCTGCAACAAATGAAGCAGCAGCAGCAGCAGCAGCAAATCGAGCAGCAGCAACAAACTGGCGCTGCGGAATCGTGACTACTTTCTGTGTCGACTCCCCAGGTGTATGTACACCTGAAGTAAGATCTCCTTATCGAGGAACCAAGACTCAATAGATCTAAAACTATTTTTAAAATTAAGGTTTAGCGTTTAAAGTTCTAAAGACTGCTGTCGTCTGGCTCTTCGCAAGGCGCCTGCGGGGCCCCTGCTGCTGCTGGCAGCAGCAGCTCAAAGCCCGAGGTGTACAGACACCACTGCTGCTGCAAAAGCAGCTGCAGCGGCAAATCATACCAAAGGTCCCTCAGCTCCTCGGGGCCTTCCAGCAGGTCATCTTCTATGCTTCTGAAAGCAGCACAAGCGCATGCACACAGCCACACACAGGCTGTTGCTGCTGCCAGTGGCGCTGCTGCTGCTGCTGCTGCTGCTGCTCTCCTGACTATAGGCTGCCGCTGCTTCCAGAAATCCCTAGTGCTGCAGCTGTTTTTGCGCCGTGCTGAAGGCTAAGAGCAGCAGCAGCAACAACAGCAGCAGCAACAAGAGCAGCAGCGGCAAGAGCAGCAGCAGCAGCAGGGGTACAGAAGCTGCAGTAGCGTCAGCAGCAAAGCATAACCCTGTAGTGAGCAGAAGCTACCTGCGGATCTCTTCGCCGTCTGTGTCAACTTTGTGAGTTGGCTCTGCTGCTGCTCTCTCGTTCAGCCGGCGCGCTGCTGCTGCAAGGCTGTTGCTGCTTATCTTGCTGCTGCTGCTGCTAAGAAAACCTTTCCGAGGCTCCGACACATCCTGAGCAAAATAAACACCAGAAAAATGTGAGGGGCATGTTGTTGAGGCAGTAGCAGCAGCAGCAGTAGTAGCAGCAGCAGCAGCCGTAGCAGCAACAGCAAGGGTTGCTGCTAGCGGCAGCTGCTCCTCCAGCACAAAAGCCGAGCATTGTACAATATACATGCCTTGAACACGCCGCAGGAAAAAACCGCAGCAGCAGCAACAACAGCAGCAACGGCAGCAACAACTGACCGCTTCGTAAGAGTGGGCCTCCTTTTCCTGTTGCTGCTGCTGCTCCTGCTGCTGGTGCTGCTGCGGGTATTGATACTCGCTTGCAAGCACGCTGAGAAAGGGCCGAAATGTGGCTGCTGAGGAGTTGGCCATAGACATCTCACTAGGGGCCAGGCTGCTGCTGCTGCGGCTGCTGCTTCTGCTGCCGCTGCTGCTGCTGCCTGGCTTGCTGCGGCTGCCGTGAGGAGGGGTGGCGGTGCCTTCAAAAGACAGACTTTGAGACAACTGGGAGTCCAGGCTCCTGCTTCGATCTTCTGCTGCTGCTGCTGCTGCTGCTGTTTTTGTTGCTGCTGCTGCTGCTGTTTCTGCCGTTGCTGCTGCTGCAGCAGAGTCCTGGGGGCCACCTTCAGCCGCTTGCTGTAGATGCTTCCCTGCGGCCGCCTCTACAGCTGCACCTGCAGCAGCAGCAGCCACTGCTGTTTCTGCTGCAGCGTCTCCACAGTGCTGCTGCTGCACCTCCTCCTCAAAAATGGGAGCAGCAAACTGCTGCTGATGGCTCCCTGTATCCACATGCTCATTTTTCAGGTCGCCCTCCTGCTGCTGCTGAACCTGCTGCTGCTGCTGCTCTTGCTGCTGCTGGTTTGCTGCTGCTGCTGAATCTTCAGCCAAAAAGACCCAGCGGTACAAAGTGAAGTCCGGGAGATTCAGCAACGTCGCCACTTCGACAACTTTGAGGCCTGCGGAGAGGAGGGCCAGGGGCGTTCTCTGGGGGCTGCCTGTGTCTCCTGCTGCTGCTGCTGCTGCTGGCAGCGGGGCCTGAGGGGGGCCCCCTAAGGCCCCCGAAAACACCCGAATCAACTCCGTCAAAACTATGGGCCACACGGGAGTCCGCGACGCCGGCGGCAGCCGCAGCAGCAGCACCCGCACGCAGACGAAGACCTGCAGCAGCGCAGCAGCAGAAGCAAAGCTAGCAGCAAAGTTAGGAGCAATACTCATAAAAGAATAAAATAACTGCAACTGCAGCAACGGCAAGGGCAAATATATTGTCGAATGGCTCCAGCTTTTGATGACATAAGCAGCAGCAGCAGGGAAACAAAGGCAGCCGCCACACGCGGACAGAGAACAGGGGCAGCTGCAGCAGCAGCTGCCCCTGTTCTC